CCGTCGAGGCTATAAGGGGAGCTTTGCATTTGTATACACAAGTGTGTTTACAGAGTGCGCATGTGTGCACTTGGTGCATGTGTGCGTGCACAAGTGTGTACATCCACAAATGTGTGTGTGTGTGTGACCTCGTACACGAGTATACGTGAGGACACATAGAGGTACAGTCCAACGCCTGGCAGTCACGTGTGCCCGCTTAACCAACAACAGTCGCGCCAACAACGCCACAACCGAAATAAAGTTACCAACGTGCCGGCAATAGCCGGAGCGGCCCCGGTTTAGGCCGAACAAAAACATAAATTGTAAAAAAATAAGAAATAAAACATTCCGGAATTTGTTCCCGGTTTCAAATGTCGTGACCTCGTACTCGGCAAGAGGGTCGTGGTCACAGGAGTAGTGGGCGGGGCTAGTGAGAGAGTGGGAGGGGCTAGTGAGAGAGTGGGTGGGGCTAGTGAGAGAGTGGGAGGGGCTAGTGAGAGAGTGGGAGGGGCTAGTGAGAGAGTGGGAGGGGCTAGTGAGAGAGTGGGCGGGGCTAGTGAGAGAGTGGGAGGGGCTAGTGAGAGAGTGGGAGGGGCTAGTGAGAGAGTGGGCGGGGCTAGTGAGAGAGTGGGAGGGGCTAGTGAGAGAGTGGGAGGGGCTAGTGAGAGAGTGAGAGGGGCTAGTGAGTGGGAGGGGCTAGTGAGAGAGTGGGAGGGGCTAGAGAGTGGGTGGGAGGGGCTAGTGAGAGAGGGGGAGGGGCTAGTGAGAGAGTGGGCGGGGCTAGTGAGAGAGTGGGAGGGGCTAGTGAGAGAGTGGGAGGGGCTAGTGAGTGGGAGGGGCTAGTGAGAGAGTGGGAGGGGCTAGTGAGTGAGTGGGAGGGGCTAGTGAGTGGGAGGGGCTAGTGAGAAAGTGGGAAGGGCTAGTGAGAGAGTGGGAGGGGCTAGTGAGTGGGAGGGGCTAGTGAGAGAGTGGGAGGGGCTAGTGAGAGAGTGGGAGGGGCTAGTGAGTGGGAGGGGCTAGTGAGAGAGTGGGCGGGGCTAGTGAGAGAGTGGGAGGGGCTAGTGAGTGAGTGGGAGGGGCTAGTGAGAGAGTGGGAGGGGCTAGTGAGAGAGAGGGAGAGGCTAGTGAGTGAGTGGGAGGGGCTAGTGAGTGAGTGGGTGGGGCTAGTGAGAGTGGGTGGGGCTAGTGAGAGAGTGGGAGGGGCTAGTGAGTGGGTGGGGCTAGTGAGAGAGTGGGAGGGGCTAGTGAGAGAGGGGGAGGGGCTAGTGAGAGAGTGGGCGGGGCTAGTGAGAGAGTGGGAGGGGCTAGTGAGAGAGTGGGAGGGGCTAGTGAGTGGGAGGGGCTAGTGAGAGAGTGGGAGGGGCTAGTGAGTGAGTGGGAGGGGCTAGTGAGTGGGAGGGGCTAGTGAGAAAGTGGGAAGGGCTAGTGAGAGAGTGGGAGGGGCTAGTGAGTGGGAGGGGCTAGTGAGAGAGTGGGAGGGGCTAGTGAGAGAGTGGGAGGGCTAGTGAGTGGGAGGGGCTAGTGAGAGAGTGGGCGGGGCTAGTGAGAGAGTGGGAGGGGCTAGTGAGTGAGTGGGAGGGGCTAGTGAGAGAGTGGGAGGGGCTAGTGAGTGAGTGGGAGGGGCTAGTGAGTGAGTGGGTGGGGCTAGTGAGAGTGGGTGGGGCTAGTGAGAGAGTGGGAGGGGCTAGTGAGTGGGTGGGGCTAGTGAGAGAGTGGGAGGGGCTAGTGAGAGAGGGGGAGGGGCTAGTGAGAGAGTGGGAGGGGCTAGTGAGAGAGTGGGAGGGGCTAGTGAGAGAGTGGGAGGGGCTAGTGAGTGAGTGGGTGGGGCTAGTGAGAGAGTGGGAGGGGTTAGAGAGAGAGTGGGAGGGGCTAGTGAGAGAGTGGGTGGGGCTAGTGAGAGAGTGGGAGGGGCTAGAGAGAGAGTGGGAGGGGCTAGAGAGAGTGGGAGGGGCTAGAGAGAGAGTGGGAGGGGCTAGTGAGAGAGTGGGTGGGGCTAGTGAGAGAGTGGGAGGGGCTAGTGAGAGAGTGGGAGGGGCTAGTGAGAGAGTGGGAGGGGCTAGTGAGTGAGTGGGGCTAGTGAGAGTGGGAGGGGCTAGTGAGAGAGTGGGTGGGGCTAGTGAGAGAGTGGGAGGGGCTAGTGAGTGGGTGGGGCTAGTGAGAGAGTGGGAGGGGCTAGTGAGAGAGGGGGAGGGGCTAGTGAGAGAGTGGGAGGGGCTAGTGAGAGAGTGGGAGGGGCTAGTGAGAGAGTGGGAGGGGCTAGTGAGTGAGTGGGTGGGGCTAGTGAGAGAGTGGGAGGGGTTAGAGAGAGAGTGGGAGGGGCTAGTGAGAGAGTGGGTGGGGCTAGAGAGAGTGGGAGGGGCTAGAGAGAGTGGGAGGGGCTAGAGAGAGTGGGAGGGGCTAGAGAGAGAGTGGGAGGGCTAGTGAGAGAGTGGGTGGGGCTAGTGAGAGAGTGGGAGGGGCTAGTGAGAGAGTGGGAGGGGCTAGTGAGAGAGTGGGAGGGGCTAGGAGTGAGTGGGGCTAGTGAGAGTGGGAGGGGCTAGTGAGAGAGTGGGTGGGGCTAGTGAGAGAGTGGGAGGGGCTAGTGAGAGAGTGAGAGGGGCTAGTGAAAGAGTGGGTGGGGCTAGTGAGAGAATGGGAGGGGCTAGTGAGAGAGTGGGAGGGGCTAGTGAGTGAGTGGGAGGGGCGTAGTGAGAGAGTGGGAGGGGCTAGTGAGAGAGTGGAGGGGCTAGTGAGAGAGTGGGGGGGCTAGTGAGTGAGTGGGAGGGGCTAGTGAGTGAGTGGTGGAGGGGCTAGTGAGAGAGTGGAGGGGCTAGTGAGAGAGTGGGTGGGGGGTCGTGAGAGAGGGGGAGGGGCTAGTGAGAGAGTGGGAGGGGCTAGTGAGAGAGTGGGAGGGGCTAGTGAGAGAGTGGGAGGGGCTAGTGAGAGAGTGGGAGGGGCTAGTGAGAGAGTGGGAGGGGCTAGTGAGAGAGTGGGAGGGGCTAGTGAGAGAGTGGGAGGGGCTAGTGAGAGAGTGGGTGGGGCTAGTGAGAGAGTGGGAGGGGCTAGTGAGAGAGTGGGAGGGGCTAGTGAGAGAGCGGGTGGGGCTAGTGAGAGAGTGGGAGGGGCTAGTGAGAGAGCGGGAGGGGCTAGTGAGAGAGTGGGAGGGGCTAGTGAGAGAGTGGGTGGGGCTAGTGAGAGAGTGGGTGGGGCTAGTGAGAGAGTGGGAGGGGCTAGTGAGAGAGTGGGAGGGGCTAGTGAGAGAGTGGGAGGGGCTAGTGAGAGAGTGGGTGGGGCTAGTGAGAGAGTGGGAGGGGCTAGTGAGAGAGTGGGAGGAGCTAGTGAGAGAGTGGGAGGGGCTAGTGAGAGAGTGGGAGGGGCTAGTGAGAGAGTGGGAGGGGCTAGTGAGAGAGTGGGAGGGGCTAGTGAGAGAGTGGGTGGGGCTAGTGAGAAAGTGGGAGGGGCTAGTGAGAGAGTGGGTGGGGCTAGTGAGAGAGTGGGTGGGGCTAGTGAGAGAGTGGGAGGGGCTAGTGAGAGAGTGGGTGGGGCTAGTGAGAGAGTGGGAGGGGCTAGTGAGAGAGTGGGAGGGGCTAGAGAGAGAGTGGGAGGGGTACTCCAGCACGAGGTATTATCTATAGAACGCGACGCAAGAAATCAGATCGCGAGAAAAAAATAATTAAATCAAATACAGAGGTAAACATGTAAATAATAATTAATGAATCAATTAATAAACCATCGTAGTCATCATCGCCAACATCATCATCATCACCACCATGTACAGCCCTTGCTCAATACGCTGCTGAGTGAAGGCCTTCCCACGCCTCGTCAGCCGTGGAAATCGGTCGACCATATGCCTCCCCATGTAAGTGTACGGGCGATACCAAATGGGTACAACCAGCAGTTAGGTGATCGTCAGGGTCCCGTGCAGTGCGGTGACACATGGGGGGACACCCACCACCTCTTTCTGCCAAGAGGTACTGGCTAAACGGCATGGACAATAACGAATAGATTTAGTGGGGTTTACCCCGCAAAACAAAAATAATTTCTTAATAATAGAGGTTTCCCCTTTTTTCTGGCAACAAAACTGAAACCTTTTTACGAGGATTCATGTTACTGCAATAACCACAATACTTGCAGTGAAAATGCAAACAAGAAACTCACTATGATAATATATTGGCATTGTCCTTGAAGCTGATTGGTCCACACCAGGGGACGGCTTTCTTTTGAGCCTCGACCCAATTGGTGCTCGACCAGAGGACGCCAAAAGGCGTCCACAGCTCAAAGACAACGCACTATCAGAGTAATGAGGGCTCGGGGTGAGCATCTACATCATTGCCAGTACCAAATAATAAAGGGGAAAACCCCTATTATTATATTTTGGTACTGGCAAAGGAGGTCCCATTATGTAAAAATAGTTTAATTTTCGTTTTTTTTGCGATGTGTTCACCCCTTTCCTAAACTCTGCACTCCGATCGTGTGTTGTATTGTTTGTTGCTCTAACGTTCTGAGCTGCTACAACTGGACGTTTGTTAAACGGAGCTTCAAAGCTCATCGGATTTCTACCACTATAACTAAAGATGCTGATCCTAAAAAAGTAAACCTAATATCCAAGTGTGCCTGGTTGTTGTTTTTTCCTTCGCGGCCAAATTGTCAGAATTATTTTGTGCAATTGAGAACTCGTATTCTTGGTTCTTTCGGTAAAGTCGCGGAGAAGGGAAACAGTAAAATAATAAAATATTAAACAATTAAATTATCACGACGTGATTGCTTGTGTTGCAGTCGAAACGTCGTGAGAATTTGTATTGTCTTCTTGGTTCTTTCGGTAAAGTCACGTAGAAGGGAAGTAATAAAATAATAAAAATAAAACATAATAACATAATTCTCACGACGTTTCGGCCACAATGCAATCAGCCGTCCTCAGGTGAAGACCAGCTATCTCCCCGACAGACCTGGTCTTCACCTGAGGACGGCTGCTTGCGTTGTGGCCGAAACGTCGTGAGAATTATTTTATTATGTTTTATTTGTATTATTTAATTACTTCCCTTCTACGTGACTTTACCGAAAGAACCAAGAAGATGAATCCCTGCAGTCACGAAAGCTTTAAATCGAAATTTGTATCGATATATTTTTATCATTTTATTGTTTCCCTTCTACGCGACTTTACCGAAAGAACCAAAAATATGAATCCCTGCAGTCGCGAGAAAGCTTTAAATCGAATTTGAGAACTCATCGCCAGAGTTCAAAGCCCACAACCAAAACTCCTTTTCCGAGTTCCACGCAGATGACGATCCACTTCGTTGGGCGATCATTTGTGGCCATGGCGCTTCTGAAAAAGAAGCTACATCGCTCAGTGGGCCTTAAACTAAAACTATGTTTTATTTGACCCGGGTAAAGCCCACTCGGCTATACAGCTGGTGTGTTTCTCTTTCCAGAAGAGACCTAGCTATCACGAATGACAGCTCAACGGAGTGGCTAAAACATCGCGTGGAAATCTATCGCAGGCAAATAATCAAAATGCATGTTGATTCGAAATGTGACTGCTTGTGTTGTGGTTATTGCAAACATGATGCCTTGTATAAAGGTGTCAGTTTTTGTACCAGTTGAAAGGGTAAAAACCTATTACTATATTTTGCCACTGGTAAAGGAGGTATCATAGTGTAAATGTTTACCCCGAGCTCTCAATACTCTGATAGTGCACTGTTGTTAGAGTTGTACGCCTTTTGGCATCATCTGGTCCAACACCAATGGAGACTAGGCTCTAAGAAAGCTGTCTCGGGTGTGGACCAATCAACTTCAAGGACAGTGCATATCATTATCATCATCAGAGTTGTTTCTTTTTGTTTGCATTTTGACTGCTTGTGTTGTGGTTATTGCAAACATGATGCCTCGTATAAAGGTGTCAGTTTTTGTACCAGTTGAAAGGTTAAAAACCTATCACTATGTGGAGGGAAAAGCCAGAAGACCGAGAAAAAAATCCAACCACGAGGAGAGAGAAAATGCAACCTCCAAGTATACAGATCGAACCCACGACCTCCTGTATACCAGGCGAGGTAGTTAACATCTCGCCACCATGGCGCCTTTACTCGGTAAGATAAAACATAGTTTAGTTTTATATGTAATTATTTTTAAGTGATCTGTTTACCTTTTCCGATACTTTGCACTCCTATCGTGTTGTTGTATTGTTTTGTTCTTGTAACGTTCTGACCTGCCCCGACTGGGCATCAGTGAAAACGAGCTTCATAGCTCATCGGATTTCTCCCAGGATAAATAAAGATTCCGTTTCTGAGAGCGCTTGAACATCACTCGCGAGCCGAATGAATATTACAAGCAGCAGCAGCAGCAATCATCGCCGACCTCTTACAGCGAAAACCTGGCAGCACTCTCCTGAAGGCGAGTCTGGAGACTCAGTGGCGAGGCTTTCCTGGGTAAACAAGCGGTAGGATAATCATAACAATTGTCAACAACAACAATAATGTCTAATATCATCACAGCAATCTGAACCATTGGCCTGGTTTCCCTGGAATTGTAACCCAGAGGAACAACATCAACACAACAGGAGAATAACAACGATTGGTAACCATGATTACCGTAAATTTGCATAATTACTATACAAGTCATCACGTAAAAAATATACGAGAGCCCCTCCCCCCCCCCCCCCCCCCCAAAGAAACTCGCAAACGTTTACAAAATATATATATCTCATCTCTTGCTTAGAAAAATACACGACGGACAAAATATAAAGAATGTCGTAAAAAATAATCCACCGCTTGAAATCGACAGAAACCAGCACCGATGGCTTAGGCCACCACGAGTAACGGATCCGGCCCTGAACGTTTGTGTCGCCGAGACCCTCTGCCACCCAGCGCAGCCACGCAAACCGCTCCGCCAAGGAGGCTCCGGTTCGTTGTTTCCGCTCAACTTAAGATGTTCAACTCGAGATGTTCAACTCGAGATGTTCAACTCGAGATGTTCAACTCCCTCGCCTGGTACGCAGGAGGAGGCGGGAGCCCAGCGACCTCGGTGGGTGGCAAGGGGGGGTCGCGTGAGTCAGGGTTGGTGGACTCGTGTAAAGATTGGAATGGGAAGTGAACGATTGTCCGGGTGAAATGATTTGCTCAGATCAAGAGAAGGCTCAGCTAAGGTGGTGAGATGTTAACTACCTCGCCTGGTGTACAGGAGGTCGCGGGTTTGATCACGACCCTGACGCCTGCTGCTGTATATTTGGAGTTTGCGTGTCTCTCTCATCATCATCACGATGGCAAGGAGATGTTAACTACCTCGCCTGGTATACAGGAGGTCGCGGGTTTGATCACGACCCTGACGCCTGCTGCTGCTGTGTATTTGGAGTTTGCGTGTCTCTCTCTCCCCCCTGTGGTCGCGCGGATTTTTCCTCCGCGTCCTCCGGGTTTTCCCCTCCACCTTTAGAGACATTCCCTTTAGAGCATTTGGCCACTATACATTTGGGGCCGTCCATAAATGACGTCACGCGATTTTGGACGATTTCTGACCCCCCCCCCCCCCCATCGTCACACGGCGTCACAAAAAGTCAGAGCCCCCCCTCAAATATGACGTCACAAAGCTCTGCCCCCCCCCAAAAAAATGTAACATGCTTTAAATCGCTTTAAACTATTGTCATTGTAGTGCGTATTTAGTGTGGCGCTGCACTCTGATGTTGTAGGAGAAAACATGTATTACAGAGTATATTTAATCAAGTAGAACGTGTTGTCTATATTTATTTAAAGTTGCGCATTTTGATGTGACGTCACATTTCTCAAACCCCCCCCCCTCGTCACACATCGTCACAAATGTCTGACCCCGCCCCCCCCCAGGTGCGTGACGTCTTTCATGGACGGCCCCTTACCACGTGATAAGCCACTTTGTTGAGCTCCCATTTGTTGCTTCTGAAAAAATTCGCTACAAAGCTGCTCAGTGGGCTTTACCGAGTTGTAAAAAATTTAAAAAATAGTTAAATATCTTCACAGAGCAATTCTCACTCACCCGGCCGGGCGAGCGAGTTGAGCTGCATCGGTCATTTTCACCGCGCTCGTCCCTAAACGCTCGTGCACCAGGCGACGATTTGATTTGTTTGGCTGTTGGGTGGTGGAGGGTCTCACGACACAAGATTTCGCGCCAGATCATTACGCAGCGGCCAGAACCCAAAAAAAACTGTCAATCGTGACACTCGCTGCAAATCCGCGCCCCGCTCCCCCCCTCCCTCCCTCCCTCCGTGTTAAACATCACGTTATAACGTCAACGTCACCCAGCAGGGCTGAGGTAACCTAACGAGACCAGGGAGGAAAAACAGAACGTCGGCCCTTGCCACAACGGAATTGACAATCCTCGAATAAAGGAAGCCTTCATCTTTGGTAGAACGGAAGATATGACCGGTGCCTTTCCAGAATAGTCAAGTCCGATAAAAACGCAAAGTCTGACCTGGGTGTAACAGAATCGTCCGTTCTGGTGCCATCGAACGAAAACCCTCAACCTCGTTTATCGGAGTCATCGTCTACTCTGTTTGTGATGAGAAAAAAATCCAACCCTCTGCGTAACCACAAATCGGAATCGCCATGACGGAAATGGCGACGTGTCGGAAATGCAATTTTTTTGCGCGGCACGAGGCGCGGCGGCGCGCGCGTCGCAACGGAGGACAACGTCCGTCTGTAGGGAAATCATGTAAACTGCGACCTCGTCGTCGTCATCGTCGGTCAACACGAAAACGTGCCACGGAAACCCGCCAAACGCGGAGGTTTAGTGATGGCGCGACCGCCGGCGTCGCTCCCGTGCGGGAACCGGTGACCTCGGTTCGACAGTAGCGATGTCATCGCGAATATTAATAATGTGAATTTACAATAAACATCGGTATATATGCACGGAAGTGACCTCGTGATAACGGTGGGGGGCGGAAAGTGAAAACTCGGTAATGTAATGGAAGCGATGACCGCGCCGTAACGGAATATACACACGCGCGCATCGGTACGTACGAACCCAGGCCGAGTTAATACTTCGAACCTGGTATAAACGGAAAGAGTTACAAAAATAAACCTCATTATTAGGTAAAAAATACATGAACCCGCAGTCAAAACGGAAAATACACTCCCAGATAAATTACACTCAGCGCGCAGTTTAACCGACTGGTTAAACCTCGGCCTAGTGGATAACTTAAAGCTCGGCCTAGTGGATAACTTAAACCTCAGCCCAGTGGACAACTTAATCCTCGGCCTAGCGGACAACATAAACCTTGGCCTAGCAGGCAACTTAAACCTCGGCCTAGCGGACAACTTAAACCTCAGCCTAGCAGGCAACTTAAACCTTGGCCGAGCAGACTGGTTAAACCTCAGCCTAGAGGACAACTTAAACCTCGGCCTCGTGGACAAGGTAAACTTCAGCCTCGCGGACGACTTAAACCTCGGCCTAGCAGACAACTTAAACCTCGGCCTAGCAGACTGGTTAAACCTTGGCCTAGCGGACAAGTTAAACCTTGGTGTAACAGAAATGTTAAACTCACTGCAACTGCGGTCAAACGGAGCTCTACCACTCGGTTAGAAACAGAGAGAGAAAGAAACTCAGGGAGACAGAGAGAAACAGGGAGACACAGACAGACACAGAGAGACAAAGGGAGACGGAGAGATACACAGACATAGGGGGACAGAGATTGGGACAAGGACACTATCCAGTTCCCGTGTCTTCGCCGCGTGTCTCCACGTGTCTCTCCGCGTGTCTCGACGTCTCCGTGAATTTTCTCAGAAGTGAAATTGGCCGTCGCGTGCCAACATCACATGACCTCATCAAGCCACCAGCCACGGGGTCTGACCCTGGGGGGTCATGGGGTCAAGGGGGAGAACATTTTAAATTAACGATGTCCAATCATCAGAATCACGATCATCATCAAAAACACCAACAGCATCAGCATAATCATCAGCATCAAAGGCTGCAGACAAATCATGTTAGTATGTTGAATTTATTTTTCACCATATGTAGCCAACCGTGCTAATCGCCACCATCACTCATCATAACCCATCACCACCATCACCCATCATCATCACCACCAGCCATCATCGCCACCATCATCACCCACCATCATCACCACCATCACCACCTATCATAACCCATCACCACCATCACCCATCACCACCATCGCCCATCATGATCACCACCAACCATCATCACCACCATCACCACCTATCATAACTCATCACCGCCATCATAACCCAACCGTGCTAATCGACACCATCACTCATCATAAACCATCACCAACATCACCACCACCACCACCCATTCTCCGTGAATGAATGCGCTGCCCGGTACCTTTTGCCAGCATCCTGGTACCGGCAATCCGTCTTCTCCCTGGTCACGTGCATCACGCGAGTGTGGGGGTGGAGGAGGGGGAGAGGCAGAGTCAGAATCCCTCCAATGGAGTCGCTGCTTTGCTAAAAAAAAATTGGCCGAATTCGAGAAAGTGACACTGCCAAAGAATCCATTGAAGAACAGGTCTGTCGGAAAGACAGCATCTGAATGAACGCTGTCTTTCCGACAGCCCTGTTCTTCACCTGAGGACGGCTGCTTGCGTTGTGGCCGAAACGTCGTGAGAATTGTATTTTATCATGTTTTATTTTTATTTTTTTATTACTTCCCTTCTACGTGACTTTACCGAAAGTACCAACAAGATGAATCCCTGCAGTCACGAAAGCATCGAAATTTAGTGTCTAATCAACAGAGTCGGGCTTTGCTTGAACCGATGCCAGTGAGCTCCCCTGATGTGTATGAGCAGTGAGTGTCGAAACCGGTCCCGAGATGTTGCTCGTGTTGAGCCAATGGCTTTACGCGAGCCCAACTCTGCCGATGAGACGTTGAAACCCCGCTCGGGGAGATTGCGCATCACGGCAATATTGGTAGACGGGGCCTACGGATGTCGGCTCCAACTTCCTCCCCGTGGGCGTGTGGAGGAGCAGCCGTGCCCCTGGCACGCCAGGAGAAGGCGGTGCCAGCAAAGCGTTCGGGATAATCTCCATCCGTCCGTTCCGTCTGATGGGATAGAGCGTTGCTCCCTCGCACGCACACGCGCGTGGATCTTTTTGGCTCCCGGATATCTTCCCACGCCGGTGGTAAACGACGCTCATTATGAATTGACTGAAAGCTTCATGATACGCGGAGGATCGCAGAGCTTGGGCGATCCCTGGTAGCGTCGTTGGCGTCTCTGCGATAATGAGAGATGATTCATCGGGCGATTTTGCCCGATGATGCTTTATGTAATCACGAGTGAAACGTCGTATTCAAATAGCAAATGTTGTGGATTTACTCCGCAACATATTGGTGGGCTGAAGAAGTAACTAACTGGCACATTCTGTTCACGTGACAAACCTTACTCGTTGGCTGTGTCGGGTGGTGGCGGTTAACGACACATTTTATTATTATTTACACGCTTTTAATTAACCCACTCCTCTGTCTGTTGTATCCTCAAATCTTGTAACGAAATGTTTGCCCACTTCCCAATGTGGTATCGACTGCAAACTTGGTATACTTATGTCATACTAATGACGATACTATATTCTACCATTGAAAATACAAAATATATATTATTAAACATTATATTTTATATGTTATGTTTCGCCTTGGGTCTAATTTCCCACGGCCAACTGACGTTGGCTGTAACCCACCACGGTCCCCTTACGTTGTGGAAAGCCTCGGGGCCACTTCCTGGAGTCGTGGAGTTCTTCTATTACTAGTACGGTACATTTCATTAAAGCGTGTTTTTAGAAAAGTTTTTTTAAATATTACTTATTTTTTACTCAAGCGATCTAAACCGAATTTTTATTTTTATCTTTCGTGAATGATATCGGTCGCGAAAGCCTACGTGGGGTCAAACCGCGAGAGGTGATTTTACGCAAACGCCTTCAAGGGCCTCGCGGTCGCTGTCATCGGCCTCGTTGCTGTCGGACCAACGCACGAGACCTCGCTGGGTGAGAGTGAGAGAGGCCGTGGGTGAGAGTGGGTGAGAGTGGGTGAGAGTGGGTGAGAGTGGGTGAGAGTGGGTGAGAGTGGGTGAGGGTGAGAGTGGGTGAGAGTGGGTGAGAGTGGGTGAGAGTGGGTGAGAGTGGGTGAGGGTGAGAGTGGGTGAGTGTGGGTGAGTGTGGGTGAGAGTGGGTGAGAGTGGGTGAGTGAGTGAGTGTGAGTGAGTGAGTGTGGGAGGCCGTGGGTGAGTTGTGGTCGTCATCCCTCGTGGGAGCGATGATCCACTCGCCCCCCCCCCCCCCCCAGGGATATTCAGACTCGCTCGCCGGAGCCAGGAAACGTTACACAGCCAGTACTAGTCAGTGGGGGGGGGGGGGCTCTGTCGGTGGGGGGGGCTGTCGGTGGGGGGGGGCTCTGTCAGTGGGGGGGGGGCCTCTTGTCAGTGGGGGGTTAACAATGATTGGAGGGGGGGGGGGGCGTTAGCTGATTGAGATTTAGGGTCAGAGGTCAACGTAACAATATCTAGGAGTGAGAGGTCAGTGGTCTGTGGCATCACGCGGCATGCGCGAGGCACGAGGGGAGGGGCGAAGGTGAGGAGGGGAGTCAATGCAGTTGGGAGTGAGGGTGGGGGTAGGTGAGGGGAGGGGTGAGCGGGTGGGTGAGTGGGGGGCGAGGGGAAGGGTGAGTGGGGGGCGAGGGGAGGGGTGAGTGGGGGCGAGGGGAGGGGTGAGTGGGGGCGAGGGGAGGGGTGAGTGGGGGGCGAGGGGAGGGGTGAGTGGGGGGCGAGGGGAGGGGTGAGTGGGGGCGAGGGGAGGGGTGAGTGGGGGGCGAGGGGAGGGGTGAGTGGGGGGCGAGGGGAGGGGTGAGTGGGGGGCGAGGGGAGGGGTGAGTGGGGGGCGAGGGGAGGGGTGAGTGGGGGGCGAGGGGAGGGGTGAGTGGGGGGCGAGGGGAGGGGTGAGTGGGGGGCGAGGGGAGGGGTGAGTGGGGGGCGAGGGGAGGGGTGAGTGGGGGGCGAGGGGAGGGGTGAGTGGGGGGCGAGGGGAGGGGTGAGTGGGGGGCGAGGGGAGGGGTGAGTGGGGGGCGAGGGGAGGGGTGAGTGGGGGGCGAGGGGAGGTGTGAGTGGGGGGCGAGGGGAGGGGTGAGTGGGGGGCGAGGGAGGGGTGAGTGGGGGGCGAGGGGAGGGGTGAGTGGGGGGCGAGGGGAGGGGTGAGTGGGGGGCGAGGGGAGGGGTGAGTGGGGGGCGAGAGGAGGGGTGAGTGGGGGGCGAGGGAGGGGTGAGTGGGGGGCGAGGGGAGGGGTGAGTGGGGGGCGAGGGGAGGGGTGAGTGGGGGGCGAGGGGAGGGGTGAGTGGGGGCGAGGGGAGGGGTGAGTGGGGGGCGAGGGGAGGGGTGAGTGGGGGGCGAGGGGAGGGGTGAGTGGGGGGCGAGGGGAGGGGTGAGTGGGGGGCGAGGGGAGGGGTGAGTGGGGGGCGAGGGGAGGGGTGAGTGGGGGCGAGGGGGGTGAGTGGGGGGCGAGGGGAGGGGTGAGTGGGGGGCGAGGGGAGGGGTGAGTGGGGGGCGAGGGGAGGGGTGAGTGGGGGCGAGGGGAGGGGTGAGTGGGGGGCGAGGGGAGGGGTGAGTGGGGGGCGTACCAATGGGCAGGGGGCGTCAATGCCGTCGAGCCCCGGCAAGCCAGGGTCCCCCTGTCCCCCCTTAGTGCCGCGGGGTCCCTGGGGTCCGTTAGGGGGTCACACAGCCAGAGGGTTAATAGGGAGGAGGGGCGGGGGGGGGTCAGGGCTTAAATAATCAACACGGGGGTCCAAGGGGGATCCTCTGGAAGGGGTCACCTAGAGGAGAGGGGTGAAAGGGGGTAGGGGAAGGGGTAGGAAGGGGGGGGGGGGTACCTGCAGGAGAGGGGTCGGAGGGGATTAGAAGGAGGTGACCTGAAGCAGAGGGGTTAACAAAGGGGATACCCGGGTAGGAAGGGGGGTACCTGCAGGAGAGGGGTCGGAGGTGAGGGATTATAAAGGGGGTACCTGCAGGGGTAGGAAGGGGATACCTGGAGGAGGAGGGGTTAGAAGGGGTTGCCGGGGATTAGAGAGGGGATACACTCGGATGGTGTTGACCCCACCGGGACCCCTGAGCTCAGGGGGTCCCAGCTGCACTCGGGGTCCATACCAGGGCGCAGGGCGCGTCCAGCCCGGGGAGGCCCTGATCCCCTTTATCCCCTCGGGGTCCCCTCCTTCCTCGGAGCCCCTCCTCGCCCTGGGCCAAGCAGCAAGGGGGTCAACAAGGGGTCAACAAAGGGGTCAACAAGGTGGTCAGCAAGGGGGTCAACAAGGGGGTCAGTAAGAGGGTCAGCAAGGGGTCAACAATGGGGTCAACAATGGGGTCAACAAGGGGTCAGCAAGGGGTCAAAAATGGGGTCAGCAAGGGGTCAACAAAGGGGTCAACAAGGGGGTCAGCAAGGGTCAACAAGGGGGTCAACAAGGGTCAGCAAGGGGTCAGTAAGGGGTCAACAAGGGGGTCAACAAGGGGATCAACAAGGGGGTCAACAAGGGGGTCAACAAGGGGGTGAACAAGGGGTCAACAAGGGGTCAACAAGGGGTCAACAAGGGGTCAACAATGGGTCAGCAAGGGGTCAACAAGGGGTCAGCAAGGGGTCAACAAGGGGTCAACAAGGGGTCAGCAAGGGGTCAATAAGGGGGTCTGCAAGGGGTCTGCAAGGGGTCAACAAGGGGTCAACAAGGGGGTCAACAAGGGGGTCAACAAGGCGGTCCACAAGGGGTCAGCAAGGGGGTCAGGGAGGGGACGAGGAGACACGTGAGTGTGGAGCTACGTGATGTTTAACGTGGTTTGAAATCCGCGGCAGCTCCTTAGAAATCCGTGGCACCTCCTAAAAAAATCCACGTCAGCTCCTGGAAATCCGCGGCAGCATTTACGCAACTGCAGTGAGTTTAACATTTCTGTAAAGTCCGCAACTGCCAAAAAAAATCCGCGGCAACTCCTTAGCAAAGGCGCGGCAGTTCCCAGACAACCGCGGCAGCATCTTCCAGAAATCCGCGGCAGCAAATTCCAGAAATCCGCGGCAGCCACCGTGAGAGCTCTCAGTGGGTGAGGGATGATGAGGCCCTGTCACCTGACCTTGACCCTGACCTTAATCACGACCCCACCGCCACCTGCGGTGCAGACCAGGGCCGTATCGCTGGCAGACTGATGCACAGGGACAGCTGCCACTGGGCGTGCCCCTAGGCAAAACTGATTTGATACGTTCTGCATGGATGGCGTCGTAGGTATATTAAGTGATGATGATGATGTGGAGGTGATCATGATGGTGATGATGGTAATACAGGGCGATTGTTTTACATCATCGTTAATAATTACATTAAAAGGAATCAACATCAGCAACATCAACATCATAAATTATGTCATCATCTGTAATATTAACCATCAACAAGACAATCAGCAGCAGCATTAACATCACCAACATCATCATCAACGATAATATTAACCATCAACAACCACCACCACCATCAGCAGCAGTTGTATTCCTAGACACACCATCAACATCATCAGCATGAACATCAACATCACCAGAGACACAGGGAGACACAGGGACATGGAGACACCTTGACACGGAGACACAGGGATACACGGAGAGACAGGGAGACACGGAGACATGAGGACACGTAGAGACGGGGACACAAAGACACAGGGAGAGACGGGGACATGGAGACACGTTGACACGGAGACACAGGGAGACACCTTGACACGGAGACACAGGGATACACGGAGAGACAGGGAGACACGGAGACATGAGGACACGTAGAGACGGGGACACAAAGACACAGGGAGAGACGGGGACATGGAGACACGTTGACACGGAGACACAGGGAGACACCTTGACACGGAGACACAGGGAGACACTGAGAGACAGGGAGACACGGAGACATGAGGACACGTAGAGACGAGGACACAGAGACACAGGGAGACACAGGGAGACACGGGGACATGGAGACACGTTGACACGGAGATACCTTCACAAGGAGACACGTTGACACGGAGACACAGGGAGACACGGGGACATGGAGACACAGGGAGACACGGAGACACAGGGAGACACAGGGAGACACGGAGACACAGGGAGACACAGGGAGACACGTTGACACGGAGACACGTTGACACGGAGAGACGGGGACACGGAGACACAGGGAGACACAGGGAGACACAGGGAGACACAGGGACATGGAGACACAGGGAGACACGGGGGCATGGAGACACGGAGACACAGGGAGACACGTTGACACGGAGACACAGGGAGACACGGAGACACGGGGAGACACAGGGAGACACGTTGACACGGAGACACAGGGAGACACGGGGACATGGAGACACAGGGAGACACGGAGACACAGGGAGACACGGAGACATGGAGACACGTTGACACGGAGATACCTTCACAAGGAGACACGTTGACACGGAGACACAGGGAGACACGGGGACATGGAGACACACGTTGACACGGAGAGACGGGGACACGGAGACACCGGGAGACACAGGGAGACACAGGGAGACACAGGGACATGGAGACACAGGGAGACACGGGGGCATGGAGACACGGAGACACAGGGAGACACGTTGACACGGAGACACAGGGAGACACGGAGACACGGGGAGACACAGGGAGACACGTTGACACGGAGACACAGGGAGACACGGGGACATGGAGACACAGGGAGACACGGAGACACAGGGAGACACGGAGACACAGGGAGACACAGGGAGACACGGAGACACAGGGAGACACAGGGAGACACGTTGACACGGAGACACGTTGACACGGAGACACGTTGACACGGAGAGACGGGGACACGGAGACACAGGGAGACACAGGGAGACACAGGGACATGGAGACACAGGGAGACACGGAGACACAGGGAGACACAGGGAGACACGGAGACACAGGGAGACACAGGGAGACACGTTGACACGGAGACACGTTGACATGGAGACACGTTGACACGGAGAGACGGGGACACGGAGACACAGGGAGACACAGGGAGACACAGGGACATGGAGACACAGGGAGACACGGAGACACAGGGAGACACGGGGGCATGGAGACACAGGGAGACACGGGGACATGGAGACACAGGGAGACACGTTGACACGGAGATACCTTCACAAGGAGACACGGAGACACGGAGACACAGGGAGGCACAGGGACACGGAGACACAGGGACATGGAGACACGGAGACACAGGGACATGGAGAAACGGGGACATGGAGACACGGAGACACGGGGACACGGGGACACAGGGAGACACGTTGACATGGAGACACATGACGACATGGGTACACAGCGGCACAGGAACAGGGACACGGTGACACAGAGGCAATAACTCACCCGCTCGCCTTTGTCTCCCTTGGGACCCTCAAAGCCCTGTTGAGACACAGAGACGGACAGGGAGACAGACAGGGAGACAGACAGGGAGACAGACAGGGCCACACAGGGAGACAGACAGGGAGACAGACAGGGAGACAGACAGGGCCACACAGGGAGACAGACAGGGCCACACAGGGACAGGGACATCAGGACGTGGTGCTGGCCACACCACCCACTCGTGTGTCGGCACTTGCCCCAGCAGCGTATGTGGCCTATACGGGGGCCTATGTCTGTAGATGTGTGAGGGCGATGACGTCACTCACTGGGTGTCCTCGTAGGCCTTCGACCCCATCGACCCCTCGTTCTCCCTGTGGACGTCATCATCATCATCAGCAGCATCATAATCAGCATCATCATCAGCAGCAGCAGCATCATCAGCATCATCATCAGCAGCAGCATCATCATCAGCATCATCATCATCAGCAGCAGCAGCAGCATCATCATCATCACCATCATTACCACCATCATCACCATCATCATCAGCAGCAGCAGCATCATCATCATCATCACCATCATCACCACTATCATCATCGTCATCATCATCAGCAGCATCATCATCACCATCATCATCACCATCATCACCACCATCATCATCAGCAGCATCATCATCATCACCATCATCACCACCATCATCATCGTCATCATCATCATCACCACCATCATCATCATCACCACCATCATCACCATCAGCACCATCATCATCAGCAGCATCATCACCATCATCACCACCATCATCACCACCACCATCATCACCAGCATCACCACCATCAGCAGCATCAACACCATCAGCAGCATCATCACCAGCATCACCACCATCATCACCATCAGCATCATCACCACCATCAGCATCTCTCACATAATTATCAGCACCACCACCGCCTCCACCACCACCACCCATCACCACCGTCACCACGTCTGCCCATCGTCTCACCTGGTCTCCTTTTGGGCCTGGTGGCCCAGAAGGTCCCATGGGGCCTATATCTCCCTGTGATGCACCACACACGCACATACACGAGAGAGAGGTCAGTCAACTCCATGTCACTCCTCCATCGCTACGACTACCACGGGCACTCTTCCCGTGAACTTCACACGCTGATTCCTCCACCGGTGATAATTGTTTTTTACCCTTTTATCTGGCAACAAAACTGACCCCTTTTTTTACAAGGAGTCATGTTTGCATAGACCACATTACCTGCAGTCATAATGCAAAAAAAACACAACTCTGATAAGGAAATATACGCTGCCAAGCTTGCTGGTGTTCATTCAGACGCTGTCTTTCCGACAGACCTGTTCTTCACCTGAGGACGGCTGCTTGTGTTGTGGCCGAAACGTCGTGAGAATTGTATTTTATTATGTTTTATTTTTATTATTTTATTATTTCCCTTCTACGTGACTTTACCGAAAGAACCAAGAAGATGAATCCGTGCAGTCACGAAAGCTTTAAATCGAAACATAACTCTGATAATGTCTGCACTGTCCTTGAAGTTAATTGGTCCAACTTCAAGGACAGTGCATACATTATCAGAGTTTTGTTTTTTGTTTGCATTATGACTGCAGGTATTGTGGTCAATGTAAACATGACTCCTTGTAAAAAAGGTGTCAGTTTTGTTGCCAGATAAAAGGGTAAACAAACAATTATCATATTTTTTACTGGCAAATGAGGTTCCAATGGCGTAAATCCTCCACCCGTGTTGAGGCATTGTAGGCCTGCATTCGTGACAACTACCTCCTAAATATGTACATCTATAAAATTCGACTTTTTTAATATGTATTATTATGATTTGAAGCTGCCGTGACTCCAGGAATCCATACTCTTTGGTTCTTTCGGTAAAGTCACGGACGCTCGTGTTGCGCCCGAAACGTCGTGATTTATTTTATATTTCATACCCACGTGGCTTTACCGAAAGAAACCGAGAGGATTGATTATTAGATTTACTCGACGCGTCATGGCCGACGTTCGTCACCCGAGCGTTCTAATTGGCTGGAGAGGCACGTGTGAGTGACGTCAGCGGGGGCAAGGAGGGGTATGGGTACGAAGGATGTTAGTGGCAGTGTTAGTGGCAGTGATAGTGTTAGTAGCAGTGTTAGTGGCAGTGATAGTGTTAGTGGCAGTGTTAGTGGTAGTGATAGTGTTAGTGGCAGTGTTAGTGGCAGTGATAGTGGCAGTGATAGTGTTAGTGGCAGTGATAGTGTTAGTGGCAGTGTTAGTGGCAGTGTTAGTGGCAGTGATAGTGTTAGTGGCAGTGTTAGTGGCAGTGATAGTGGCAGTGATAGTGTTAGTGGCAGTGATAGTGTTAGTAGCAGTGTTAGTGGCAGTGTTAGTGGCAGTGATAGTGTTAGTGGCAGTGTTAGTGGCAGTGTTAGTGGCAGTGATAGTGTTAGTGGCAGTGTTAGTGGCAGTGTTAGTGGCAGTGATAGTGTTAGTGGCAGTGTTAGTGGCAGTGTTAGTGGCAGTGTTAGTGGCAGTGTTAGTGGCAGTGTTAGTGGCAGTGATAGTGTTAGTGGCAGTGTTAGTGGCAGTGTTAGTGGCAGTGTTAGTGGCAGTGTTAGTGGCAGTGTTAGTGGCAGTGATAGTGTTAGTGGCAGTGTTAGTGGCAGTGTTAGTGGCAGTGTTAGTGGCAGTGTTAGTGGCAGTGTTAGTGGCAGTGATAGTGTTAGTGGCAGTGTTAGTGGCAGTGTTAGTGGCAGTGTTAGTGGCAGTGATAGTGTTAGTGATAGTGTTAGTAGCAGTGTTAGTAGCAGTGTTAAAACTCACCGGGTGGCCATCCACACCAGCAGAGCCCTGGTGCATGCACACACCATGCACACACGCGCACACACACACGCGCACACACCATGCACACACGCACACACATACACATACACACACACGCACACACGCACACGCACACACACACACACGTCCATGCATTCACAGACACGTCCATGCACCTTCACATGCATGTGCATGCACCTTCACATGCATGTGCATGCACCTTCACGTGCATGTGCATGCACCTTCACATGCATGTGCATGGACCTTCACATGCATGTGCATGCACCTTCACGTGCATGTGCATGCACCTTCACATGCATGTGCATGCACCTTCACATGCATGTGCATGCACCTTCACGTGCATGTGCATGCACCTTCACATGCATGTGCATGGACCTTCACATGCATGTGCATGGACCTTCACATGCATGTGCACGCACCCACGCGATGCACTTACAGGTTAGTTTGGAGAATGGGTCAAGTATGGGTCGGTGTTAATCAAGCCACGTGTACACGTGTGTGTGTGCACGTGTGTGTACACGTGTGTGTGTGTACACGTGTGTGTGTACACGTGTGTGTGTGCACTTGTGTGTGTGCACTTGTGTGTGTGTACACGTGCGCCTCAAGGTGCACATGGCCTGGCACAAGCGTCACCACCACTCAGTGGCGAATGGCGGTTGTTGTTGTTGTATACGCTGAGAGCGGTGGAGCGGTAGTGTATTGGTTAGCGTGCTGTGCTACGGTTCCCGATCACGTGACGATTATCTGAACCCGGTACTGGGCTTCCCCTAGGTCGACTCAGCTTTAAATGAGTAGCTGGTGCGGTGTCCGTATAGAATACATCAGCACTGGGGAGACAAAGGCGGCCGGGCTTGGTGTTGGCTACCCACCCCATTTGCGTGCCATCATCGGTACGACTCACGAACAGCACTTGCCCAAACAATCTTTTGGAAGCTATACGGGGGAACTTTGTGCGTGTGCTTTTGACAAATTAGTCAAGGCCATTGGTCAAAGTGGGCTTTGCCAGGTAGTATGGGGATGGCTTAGTTGTATATTTGTTTGTGTTTAGATGATTTGTTTACCTTTGTTGGACTCTGCACTCCTACCGTGTTATTGTACTGCTTGCTGTTGCTGCTGTAACGATCTCACCCGCCCCAAACGGACATCTGTGAAAAGAGCTTAGTAGCTCATCGGATTCCTCCAGCAGCGTCACTATTGTGACGTGTGTGGTCACGTGGTCTCTCACCGGAAGCCCCAGGGGGCCCCGCTCCCCCTTGGCCCCCACCTCTCCGTCGCGTCCCTTCTCCCCGTCCAATCCGTGCTCGCCCTGCGCACCACGTGATTCCGCATCATTAGCATACATCAATCATGAGCATCCCACTGAATTGGCACGTGTCATTCAATAATCGGCATCGTCATCGGTCAAGGGGCCGTCCATAAGTGACGTCACGCGATTTTGTACGATTTTTGACCCCCCCCCCCCCCATCGTCACACGGCGTCACAAAAAGTCAGACCCACCCCTCAAATATGACGTCACAAAGCTCTGCCCCCCCCCCCCCCCCCAAAATAAAACATGCTTCAAATCGCTTTAAACTATTGTCATTGTAGTGCGTATTTCATGTGGCGCTGCACTCTGATGTCGTAGGAGAAAACATTGCTATTATTTGTGGCCAGGTCGCTTCTGAAGAGGAAGCTTAATAGCCGAGTGGGCTTCACCTGGTAGGATTACAACAACATGTGTTTGGTTTTATTTGTATATTTCAAGTGATTTATTTACCTTTCCTACGACTCTGCACTCCGATCGTGGTTGTGTTGCTTGTTAATGTCACGTTCTTACCCGCCCCTTCCTGGGCAGCGGTGAAAATGAGCTGCGTTGCTAATCAAACTCCTCCAGCACAAATACATAAATATGCTACTTCTCGTACCCAATTTGTCATCGTTTACCCTCATTGCCAATGTAGCACTCACACCCAGACCGGGACAGCTCCTTCCCCTGCTGCTCCCCCTCCGCCTGGTGTACAGGAGGTCGTGGGTTCGATCCCGACGCCTGCTGCTGTGTATTTGGAGTTTGCGTGTCTCTCACTCGCGGGTTTTTTGTCCCCCCCCCCTCCACGTGTGTAATCGACGCCACGCGTTCAGAGAGAGTGTGTCTGGCTGCCGGACAGCTCCAGGCGATAGCCGCCAGCTCGCGTCGGGGAAGAGAGCTAAGTAGATCAGTGGGGGCCTTGTCCAGTAAAATATAAATTAGTTTATTTTAAAGTTTAAAGCCAGCTGACCTATTAGGCTGTTGTTGTTGTTGTTGTTGTTGTTTTTTTGTTTACCAAATTCTACCAAATATGTCTCCTGTTCACCATTGGAACCTCTTTTGCCAGAAACAAAATATGATAATTGTTTTTTTACCCTTTTATCTGCCAACAAAACTGACACCTTTTTTTTCAAAGGAGTCATGTTTGCATTGACCACAATACCTGCGGTCGGAATGCAAACAAAAAACACATCTCTGATAATGTATGCACTGTCCTTGAAGTTGATTGGTCCACACCCGAGACAGCTTTCCTTAGAGCCCAGTCTCACCCTGGTGTTGGACCAGATGACGCCAAGAGGCGCACAACTACAACAGTTATCATGTCTCTTGTTGTTATTTCGGTTTCCGACCCCCTGGTTGCCATGGTAACGAGTGAGGAATTCTCAGTTCACGGTTACGTTCCGACTGGGGGTGGTGATGATGGGGGTGGTGATGATGCGGGTGGTGATGATGGGGGTGGTGATGATGGGGGTGGTGATGATGGGGGTGGTGATGATGGGGGTGGTGGTGATGGGGGTGGTGGTGATGATGGGGGTGGTGATGATGGGGGTGGTGATGATGGGGGTGGTGGTGATGATGGGGGTGGTGATGATGCGGGTGGTGATGATGGGGGTGGTGATGATGGGGTGGTGATGATGGGGGTGGTGGTGATGATGGGGGTGGCGATGATGGGGGTGGCGATGATGGGGGTGGCGATGATGGGGGTGGCGATGATGGGGGTGGCGATGATGGGGGTGGCGGTGATGGGGGTGGCGATGATGGGGGTGGCGATGATGGGGGTGGCGATGATGGGGGTGGTGATGATGGGGGTGGTGGTGATGATGGGGGTGGTGATGATGCGGGTGGTGATGATGGGGGTGGTGATGATGGGGGTGGTGATGATGGGGGTGGTGGTGATGATGGGGGTGGCGATGATGGGGGGTGGCGATGATGGGGGTGGCGATGATGGGGGTGGCGATGATGGGGGTGGCGGTGATGGGGGTGGCGATGATGGGGGTGGCTGATGATGGGGGTGGTGATGATGGGGGTGGTGGTGATGATGGGGGTGGCGATGATGGGGGTGGCGATGATGGGGGTGGCGGTGATGGGGGTGGCGATGATGGGGGTGGCGATGATGGGGTGGCGATGATGGGGGTGGCGATGATGGGGGTGGCGATGATGGGGGTGGCGATGATGGGGGTGGCGGTGATGATGGGGGTGGTGATGATGCGGGTGGTGATGATGGGGGTGGTGATGATGGGGGTGGTGATGATGGGGGTGGTGGTGATGATGGGGGTGGTGATGATGGGGGTGGTGGTGATGATGGGGGTGGCGATGATGGGGGTGGCGATGATGGGGGTGGCGGTGATGGGTGTGGTGATGATGATGGGGGTGGTGGTGATGATGGGGGTGGTGATGATGGGGGTGGTGATGATGGGGGTAGTGATGATGGGGGTGGTGATGATGGGGGTGGTGATGATGGGGGTGGTGATGATGGGGGTGGTGATGATGGGGGTGGTGGTGATGGGTGTGGTGGTGATGGGGGTGGCGATGATGGGGGTGGTGATGATGATGGGGGTGGTGGTGATGATGGGGGTGGTGATGATGGGGGTGGTGATGATGGGGGTGGTGGTGATGGGGGTGGTGGTGATGGGGGTGGTGGTGATGGGGGTGGTGATGATGGGGGTGGTGATGATGGGGGTGGCGATGATGGGGGTGGTGATGATGATGGGGGTGGTGGTGATGATGGGGGTGGTGATGATGGGGGTGGTGATGATGGGGGTGGCGATGATGGGGGTGGTGATGATGATGGGGGTGGTGGTGATGATGGGGGTGGTGATGATGGGGGTGGTGATGATGGGGGTGGTGATGATGGGGGTGGCGATGATGGGGGTGGTGATGATGATGGGGGTGGTGGTGATGATGGGGGTGGTGATGATGGGGGTGGTGATGATGGGGGTGGCGATGATGGGGGGTGGTGATGATGATGGGGGTGGTGGTGATGATGGGGGTGGTGATGATGGGGGTGATGATGGGGGTGGTGATGATGGGGGTGGTGATGATGGGGGGTGGTGATGGGGTGGTGGTGATGGGGGTGGTGGTGATGGGGGTGGTGGTGATGGGGGTGGTGGTGATGGTGGGGGTGGTGGTGATGGGGGTGGTGGTGATGGGGGTGGTGATGATGGGGGTGGCGATGATGGGGGTGGTGATGATGATGGGGGTGGTGGTGATGATGGGGGTGGTGATGATGGGGGTGGTGATGATGGGGGTGGCGATGATGGGGGTGGTGATGATGATGGGGGTGGTGGTGATGATGGGGGTGGTGATGATGGGGGTGGTGATGATGGGGGTGGTGATGATGGGGGTGGCGATGATGGGGGTGGTGATGATGATGGGGGTGGTGGTGATGATGGGGGTGGATGGGGTGATGATGGGGGTGGTGATGATGGGGGTGGCGATGATGGGGGTGGTGATGATGATGGGGGTGGTGGTGATGATGGGGGTGGTGATGATGGGGGTGATGATGGGGGTGGTGATGATGGGGGTGGTGATGATGGGGGTGGTGATGATGGGGGTGGTGGTGATGGGGGTGGTGGTGATGGGGGTGGTGGTGATGGGGGTGATGGTGATGGGGGTGGTGACGATGGGGGAGGGGGGGGTTAGTCCAGTAATGGACTCCCCTGCTATACAGCAAAGATCCCGACCGCTTTCGCCCACAACCTTCACCAATCCGTGCTGACCGGCGTGGTGAAGTATGGTCAAATGACGCTCACGGCGCGGTGGGGGGGGGGGGGGGCGTTATCGAGCAGTGGATTGAACATGGCTGGGTGGTTCAGTCGGTATCCCACTCACCTTAGGTCCAGGAAGACCCTGGGTGGGGGGTGGGGGGGGTGGGTCGAGGGGAGGGGTGACAGAGGGAAGAGGGGGAATTTTACATCAAAATCTCAGATTTGCTGCTCAGCTGAGACTCGTCTCCCTGTCCACAGCCCTGCAGAGCCAGTGGTGGGAATTCCACGTTACTATGGCGGGGGTGGAGTCTCTCCAGCAGACAACCATTCCACAAATAGGTACCTATTTTATCTACCGCAGTGAGAGGAATGTTGAGTTAACCAGGGCCTCCCCTAGGTCGACTCAGCCTCACATGAGTTACCTGATGTGGTGTGTAGTAAACATCGCCACTGGGGAGACAAAGGCGGGCGGGCGTGGTGCTGGCCACCCACCCCACCTCATGTGCGGTGCCGGCCTTCACTGGCACGACGCGCTAACAGCACTTGACACCAAAAGTCTGTTAAGGCTATACGGGGGATATTTGTCTGTACGTGTACGCGTGTGTACGCGTGTGTAAGTGTGTGTGTGTGTACACGTGTGTATCTGTATGTACGTATAAACGTGTATGTGTGTGTGTGTACACACGTGTACACACACACACATACACACGTTGACACAGTAGGGGGCACAGGTGGTGCATCAGCCAGTCATCTCGGTCATCTCAGTCAGTCGACCCGTGGCACCTGCTGGGTCTGACCCGTGACCTCCTGCCAGCGGGCGTTCGACACTTCACGTGGCCTCAAGGTGCACATGGCCTGGCACAAGCATCGTGGTGACGTCACCGCCACTTAGTGGCGAATGGCGGTTGTTGTTGTACGCGTGTGTAAGTGTGTGTGTGTGTAAGTGTGTGTGTAAGTGTGTACGCGTGTGTGTGTGTGTGCTCCACCACTCACTGATATCCCAGAGTCTCCCTTATCTCCTTTGGGACCGGCTGGCCCCTGGTTTGGGGGTGCGGGTGGGAAGAAGGGGGAAGGGGGGAGGGGTGAATTGATCACGTGATCAGAGCCAGAACACTCCTACCGCAGTTTGATGAGTTGTCATGTATGTATTTAATAGATCAATTCTTCAACCGTGTCATCGTATTCGTGTTTGACAACAACGAGTTGCCGACTCAGGCGTGAAGGACTCACCAGGGCTCCCTCCGGGCCAGCGTCTCCCTGGAACGAAACATCATTCATTCATTTAATCAGTGAGTCCTACACTCACTCAATTAGACATTAACGTAAACAGTAATTCAATGACATCCTCAATTAACCATTAATCTAAACAATAATGCAATTACATACTCACTCAATTAGACATTAATTTTAAAGGTAATTCAATTACACAGTCAATTCGCCATGCATTGAAATAGTCATTAAATTACACACTCACTCAATTACCCAATAAATTAAAAGGTAATTAAATTACTCTTCACTCAATTACTCATTTATTTTAAAGGAAATTATTGTTTTCATTCACTCTACTGCTCATTTATTTACTCATTCAATATTTCTTAAATTACTATAGTACTCGATAATTTAACGAATTAACAGTTCAAATATTCATTCAATCACTAATTTAGCCTGCTGCTTCATGACTCAGGCAACCGATCGGCCAATCAATCATTAACGTGATTACGCAACATTTTGTCCATCGCGAACAAATGGATAACTCAATTAATGAATTCACAATCCATTCAGTAATTCAGTTACTCAATCGCTCAGCCGATCATTCACAACAATTGCTCATTCACCCAATTCCTCCACTCATTCACTCAACCCAACGACTAACTAATTGACCCACTCATTCTTTTATTCATTCACCGACTCAATTGCTCATTCGCCCGCTAATTCCGACAGCCAATCAGAACTCATCATTCCCACGGCCAACCTTCTCTCCCAGGGGGCCTTGGAGTCCCGGGAGGCCTGGAGGGCCCTAGGGGACAGAAGGGGGGGGGGGGGGGTGAATCACGTGTACACGTGTGTGTGTGTGTATGTGTGTGTATGTGTGTGTATGTACACGATAGTGTAGTGGTTAGCGCGCTGCGCTACGAACCCGGCGATCGGGGTTCAATTCCCGCTCTCGGCCAACACCAGTGACGATTATCTGAACCGGTCCTGGGCCTCCCCTAGGTCGACTCAGCCTCAAACGAGTACCTGGTGCGGTGTGTAAACATCGCGACTAGGGAGACAAAGGCGGCCTGGCGTGGTGCTGGCCACCCACCCCTCGTGTGCCGTGCCGGCCGTCATAGGTGCTCGATAACAGCACTTGCCCCAACAGTCTGTTTAGGACTATCGGGGGGATCTTTGTCTGTGTCTTTGTGGACCGACCTGCACCACGCGCACCCCTCCCTCTCCCTCCAGCACGTGGACAGCGCCCGGCTCGCCCTTGGGCCCCACCAAACCCTGGGCACAGACAACACGCACTTCACCAGCCGGATGATGATGACGATGGTGGAGTAGCAGTGATGATGAGTGGGGTGATGGCACATTGATGGTGATGGTGGCGGTAATTGCGATGATGATGGTGTTGGTGATGATGATTATGATTGTGGTGATGGTCATAGCGGTGATGATAATGTCGGTGGTGATGGTGGTGGTCATGGTGGTGATGGTGGTGATGGTGATGGCGGTGATGGTGGTGATTGTGGTGATAGTGGTGATGGTAGTGATGGTGGTGATGGTGGTGATTGTGGTGATGGTAGTGATGGTGGTGGTGATGGTGGTGATGGCGGTGGCACCTACTCACCCTGGGCCCGACAACTCCCAGTGGTCCAGGTGCTCCAGCATCGCCCTGCACACAACACAGAGAGCACACACGTGGTAGTGGTGATGGTGGTGGTGGTAGTGGTGATGGTGGTGGTGATGGTGGTGGTGGTAAATGATGGTGGTGGTGACGATGATGATGATGATGGTGGTGATGGCGATGATGGTGATTATGGTGATGATGGTGATTATGGTGATGATGATGGTAGTGGTTGTGATGATGGTAGTGGTGATGATGGTGGTGATGATGGTGATGATGATAGTAGTGGTTGTGATCATGGTGATGGTGATGATGATGGTAGTGGTTGTGATGATGGTGATGATGGTGGTGATGGTGGTGATGATGGTGATGATGGTGGTGGTGGTGATGGTGATGATGATGGTGATGATGGTGATGATAATGGTGATGATGGTGGTGATGGTGATGATTATGGTGGTGATGGTGATGATGATGGTGATGATGATGATGGTAGTGGTTGTGATCGTGATGATGATGGTGATGATGGTGATGATGATGATGGTGATTATTATGGTGATGATGATGATGATGGTGGTGATGGTGATGGTAGTGGTTGTGATGGTGATGATGATGATGATGGTGGTGATGGTGATGGTAGTGGTTGTGATGGTGGTGATGATGGTAATGATGATGGTAGTGGTTGTGATGATTATGGTGATGGTGGTGATGATGATGATGATGGTGGTGATGGTGATGGTAGTGGTTGTGATGATTATGGTGATGGTGGTGATGATGATAGTGGTTGTGATGGTGGTGGTGATGGTGGTGGTGGTGATGATGATAGTGGTGGTGGTGATGATTATGGTGATGATGGTGATGATGGTGATGATGATGGTGATGATGATGGTGGTGATGGTGATGATTATGGTGATGATGGTGATGATGGTGATGATGATGGTGATGATGATGGTGGTGATGATGATGGTGGTGGTGGTGATGATGATGATGGTGATGATTATGGTGATGATGATGATGGTAGTGGTTGTGATAGTGGTGATGATGATGGTAGTGGTTGTGATAGTGGTGATGATGATGGTGGTGATGATGATGGTGGTGATGATGATGGTAGTGGTTGTGATGGTGATGATGATGATGGTGGTGATGATGATGGTGGTGATGATGATGGTAGTGGTTGTGATGGTGATGATGATGATGGTGGTGGTGATGATGGTAGTGGTTGTGATGGTGATGATGATGATGGTGGTGGTGATGATGATGATGGTGGTGATGGTGATGGTAGTGGTGGTGATGGTGGTGATGATGATGGTGGTGATGATGATGATAATGATGATGGTGAGGATGATGATGATGGTGGTGATGATGATGATGGTGGTGATGATAATGATGATGATGGTGATGATGATGGTGATGATGATGGTGGTGGTGGTGGTAATGGTAGTGGTTGTGATGGTGGTGATGATGGTGATGATGATGGTAGTGGTTGTGATGATTATGGTGATGGTGGTAATGATGATGGTGATGATCTTCACCTTTTCCCCAGGTGGACCAGACTGACCCAACTCTCCTTTCTCTCCCATGTCGCCCTGCACACGCACCAAAGACAAAGATCCCCCGTGTTGCCCAAACAATCTTTTGGGGCAAGTGCTGTTAGCGAGCTGCAACTATGAATGCCGTAACAGCACACGAGGGGGTGGGTGGCCAACACCACGCCCGACCGCCTTTGTCTCCCCAGTGGCGATGTTTTACACACTGCACCAGGTACTCATTTGAGGCTGAGTCTACCTAGGGAAGGCCCAGGACCGGTTTAGAAAATCGTCACCGGTGTTGGCCGTGAACCAAACCCGGGTCGCCAGGTTCGTAGCGCTAACCG